AACCATTCATTGTACGGAAATGAGGTTTACATAAGTAAACATGACAAATGATAGAGAATGGCGTATAAAAAGTTTTACCTCGATATTGTTAACCGATTCGGAGATATTAAATGGTCGCTTTTTCCAACCGTCGAATGTTCGAACTCGGCTCTCCCGGTCTCTCTGGAAGAGGCACGCGCGCGCACGTTGAAACTATTCGAACGTTTATTGTACCACAATTACTCGTACTTATTAGCTCACTATAAAACGCGAACTCTCGTATTCAAACACATGACTTTTTAACACTCGTTCACACACTGCTGATTAATTAATCGCCATTCACAATCTACGAATCACACGACAAACTAATCCGACAAAACTAACATGGTCATCATACGGAAACGTCTACGAATCAATATATCAATATTCAAATTTCTCTATTAGACGACCATTAATCGATAGATGGCACACGACGTAACAGCGACAGATTAAAAATCGATACGCCGAATGTATCGATTCGCGTGCTACTATAATACCGTGCAGTTTGCAACACTGATAGCTTTTGACAGATAGCCTGTACGATATTAGAATGACAAAAAAGAATTGTCATGAATATTGAATATCGTTCGATCTTGTGTGTACAACAATCCCAACGACTTCGTGCAGCGTTGCCACGCTTATTGTTTCGTGGTTTATAGAATCCATTGTGCTTTGATCAATTTCGTGACATTCGCAATCGATAATGTTCGACCGCGATGTTCTGAACAATGCACACATCATGTTTAACGTTGAAAGTTCCTTTCTGTACCTGGATACAGTTTCTTCGCTTCAATCGCTATTTCTACGTAAATGTGAATGTTAGTGTCTTTTAACCTGTACACGCTTTCTTCTTAACCTCAAATGTGGTCCATGTGCACGACGAATGGAATAGACCATAAAAATAATACAGTGTGCATACGTGGCGTTGTGTAAATGTGTGACAGAGTAGTATTGCATCATGAAAACGGTTTTGATGGTGGATAGGAGATTTTTCTGGAGACATTCAAAGTACCATTCGATTTAGATCCACGAAGAACGCGCCACGCCCTGCTTTCGACGTTGCCGTGTCCGCGATGGACGGCCCGCATAATGAGAAACACGAATCAGTGGCCTCATCGTTTTGCCGTATCTTCAGTCGCGTGCGCTGCGGTTCCGTGCGCGTTTGCCCTTGCTTATCACGTTCTTGCGCAGCTTTAATTAGCTCGCCGCCATCTCTTGGTCACTATGCCACTTCTGCGTACCCGCTACCGCTTTTTATTTACGTTTCAGCCGTATCTCCATGCCCGTAGCCATAAAGGCGGTATGATGGTACTTCAAAATAGAATTAAAACTCGTTTATATTGGCGTGAACCATAGAATGTACATGTCGAGATGCGCAAATTTGTATAATTTCTGATCCTTGGAATTTGATATATTAAAAATCGATATTAATCAATACGTTGAAATTTGCTTGTATTTTTTCTCGGACGATTAGTATTCCAATCGTACAACAAGGGTACAATACATGCATAATTAATCCTCTTATTACGTAATCAATATCTATAATTAAAACAACTCTCATCTGGTATGTACTGGCGTCTGTTGTGGAGATCATCATACCAGTTGAACCAATGAATCTAAATATTATGTAGTCGAGTTATTCTGTACGAAAGCCTAAGTAATTCATGATTATTTGGCACAGAATCCTGAAGGCGGTATGAAGGAGATCAAGGAGGTTACTTCAGAAGCGCGAACACACGATGCAGCGACGATGACGACGAAGAACAAAGGAGAGCATTGCTTATGCTGGGGAAAGAAGGAAAAGGAGGGGACGTGGCATAAGCTGCGTACCCGCGGCACGCCATCTACAACGGCTTTGTGTATTCCATGGTTGCGCAATAGCGCGCGCGACTCGAGAAAGCCGAACGCGCGCGCGACTCGAGAAAGCCAAACGCGCGCGCGAGACGCACGGTGCCTGGTATTTTTGCTTTTGTACATCGGTCACAGGGTTGCGCGCACCGCTTCGCGCGACAATTGATTGCGCTTCAAAGGGAGGCGAAACTCGAATCGAACGGAGAAAAGTGAGTAAGAGAAAGAGAGGGAAGAGAAAGGAACGAAGTCCTAAAAGAGGGTACACAACTCCCATCCCGCTACGAGCCGTCCGAGTAAGGGCACATAAGGCAACAGAGACGGATTACGAGCATTACCAGCCGGAGGGTAAAGGGAGAAGGGAGCAGTGGTGGGGGAGGGGGGTTAGTAGAGGTTGGAGGGAGGGCGGAAGACGTAGACAAAGAGACGAAGAAAGGGGAAAGGTGCACGCGATGAGAAAGGGTGGGGAAGAGAGCAAAGGAGAGGAAGATCGGTCTCTCGGTGCAGAGAGCGTAGTGGTTATAAAGAGAAGCGGCATCGCTGCACGGCTACTTGGCTCTCCAGGGCCAGGATATTTCAATACCGACGGTGGTCGGCCACCGCCGACGTGGCTACAGAGAGGGGAAATGCTTGTGACGATGTGCGTTCGTGTATATATATATATGTAAATGTATGTACATATATACATAGAGGTATGTACTTCCCCTCGTGTCCCTCACCCACGTGCCCGCCCTACGACTGCACATACGCGATATATACGACTTTACACACCCGTGGGCGTTAAAGAGAAAGAAAGAGAGAGCGAGTGAGATTCTGACCGGCGGTACGGTAGCGCTACGCTATTCGGGTTTCCTCGACGAGGGGAAGAGTGATGGGGTGGCGGGAGGAGAAGTAGGGAGGGAGGGAGGGAGAAAGAGTCTCTATCTCTGTTCGAACATACAGAGGGGGAAAGTTGCGGCAAAACGGAAAGGCTGGCATCAAGGGGAATGCAGGGACGCGCGCGGCACGGCGATGGGGACCTCGAACTGAACCGTCGACCGACGATTGTCCGTGAGCCCGCCTTCCCGACGAGTCGAGGGGAACAAACGTGGGCCGTGCTACTCGTCGATTGGTCGTCCCGGCGTACGGGCTTCGAAGCGTTGGTGGCGCCTCGAGGAACCCACCAATCGAGCGTCGCTGTCGTGGCTTTTTTATCCTGCTATTTACGCCGAAGGACGGAGAAGCGCTAGCTCCCCCATCTGGCTCTCTCGCTCCTTCTCACTATCCCTCTCCTTTTCCCTCGTTTGCGCCGCTCTCCCTATGTGTTTGTCGGCACGGGAGAGGACACTCTCGTTTCGGGATCCGTTGAGGTTGCACACGTTTTCACGAACAGCGCCTCCCGTTTACTGCGACGCGCTTTATTCCACGTCGATCCTATACGATACGGTGCTGGTTCGTAACGACGAGTTCGCGATACCGTCGGGATAATTCGTCTCAAGCGTCTGTTTACTGTAAAAGCATCGTATGCGACGGCCGATGCCGTACGGTGGTGTTATGTAGTGTGTGACAGTACATCGCAAGAGGATACAGTGTTGCCAGATCATAGGCGCGAATATACATAGCAAAAGCGGTACCTCGTTCTGCGATATATCGTTGATTGTACTCGCGCGTGCGTTTGTGTAAGGACACTGCGATTGATTGATCTCAGCCACAACGGTGGATCGTATACGTTACAACGACATAGTGGATTCTCGAGTTTATCGGCTATATAGTACGCCAGTGACATTTGGTGCGGTGCTATCGACGAAATAGAGTTGGCAACGTCGCATCGGCTGCTCTCGCACACAAGCACACATACACGCATACACGTACCTAGAAGGGAACTTGGGGTGGCTGGCTAGCAGGCAGGCAGGCGGCAGGCAGGCAGGCAGCTTTCTTGTTCCGAGGACGGCGCTCCTGGTCGTGCCGTCTCTCTTTTCTACCTCCATTGCGCTTGCTCTCTCCCTCTTCTCCCTTCCCTTCTCGTCCTCGTCACTCAATCACACTCTCCTTCTGTTGCTTTCTCTCTCTCTATTTCTGTCCTTCTTTCTCTCTCTTGTGTGCGGCGCACGTACCGTTGAGAGCTTCTCCCTTCCCCTTCGATACTCTTTCTCTACCGTTACCCCCTCCCCGCCTAACCTCGAGCGGGTCGGGCGAGTCCACTAAGCTTGCGAGGGGAGTTCGGCAGACCTCGGCTCTAGTCGGCCTCGATCCGCAGAATGTGTTAGACGCTGCAAGTCCATCGCTCCAGTTTTCAAATATTCGCATTAAGAGAGACTGTACGTCGTTTACGTAGCTCGAGAACGTCTTTCTGAACGTCGCACGCGGATCCACAAGTTGCCAGTGCCTGTATCGACGTTAGTTTTCACCATCAGTTTGGGACGCACTCGACCAGCGTATATCCGCACGACGGCCATGTTTGGTGTTTACGAGGTGAGGGGGAACTGCTGACGTCACGAACCCCGATCTTGCACGAAGGGAGCAGCAGCAGCACAAGCACCAGCAGAAGCAGAAAACGTGTTGCCGGCCAACACAGCCACCCAAGTCCGTAACACGACTTCGAACAAAAAGGCGAAACGGAGTCGAGTGTCTCGGCTACTACACGAAAATCGTACGCAGGATTATTTGTGCGGTAGACACACGGAGAAGAAACTCGCGGCGCGCAAACTGTGCCGCTTGAAATCCCCTTCCCGATGGGACGTGCGTGTACGCCGACTTCGCTCGTGTTCGCCGGTCTTGCCGTGACTACTGGCCTTTCAAAAAACATCGGTCGCATTGCCGCCTCGCCGCTGAAATAGCAGCCACTCTAATCACCGTCGGTCGGCACCGATCAGTGCGGAAAACATCGAGCAATGCCAAGTGTTCTCGTATACGAGACAACACGTGCCGCGTCTCATTTTCACATGATTCTCGCTAAAAATGTTTAACACGTCGAGGATGTGGATCGAATTGATCGCTCTTCGAAAACACGTGGTTGTCCTATCTCATATTGTGTAACATCTCTTTTTCCGCTGAAACGCTAAACAGTGTCACCCGAATTCGGTGAAATTAGTACCGCATTTTTATTGGTGAAGCAACCGTTGTCTCGATTGTTTTTTATTGTGTTTACGTGCATGTGTCATCGCGATTGAAAATTCGAGCATCGTGGCCCGATTCAGTGTCGGTACATATGGTGTTACATTACTTGGTGTGGTTTCTCAGTGACACGCATCACTCTCTCGTTGGATATACTAACGGCATTCGTACACGTCTAACGAACAACGATTAAAACATCATGGATCTGGGTGACAGAGTTTACGCCGCGGAACGGATTACGAAGAAGAGAGAAAAGCGGGTAAGAGAGAGTTGCGAACCGTCACCGGCAGGTAGCGCCACTACATGGAATCTGTTTGCTATGCGCCGTTGCCGCTTCCTCCCCTCTGCGCGATCTTTCTCTTTCCCACCATCGTTCCGACAATTCTGCCCCTCCCGTGGCGATTTCTATCATGTACGATGCTCTCGATACCTCTCGTCGAATAGACCGAACACATATTTTACTGATATATAGATACTGATGTATAATTATTTTACATAAGGACAACCAAGTTTCCTTGTTCCTTTAAATCCTTCGTGTACGTTCAAATATGTGTACATCAACTGGTTCTTATTTAAAATTGCAAATTCGATAATATTTCCTCTACCAACTCATTGACAAGATGTTACGTCCACCTTTCTGACAAATAATACTCCAAAACATCATATGTTACACATATAAAAATCCTGTTCCATTTACTACCGCGCCAATCTCTGCTGATATACTCGTTCCAAAACAGTCGCGGCTTATGCAAGAATTTACGCGTTTTTACCGTGCCGGGTGATCCTCGAGGCATGGTAACGACGAGTCGAGACTGGCAACGTTGTAAATCGACATAAAACACGCGAGACTTCTCAGCTGCGAGCGGCTCATGCGCGATATACCGACGTGTCCTATACCTGCACAGTTATGTCATTGTTTTCCAACTGTCACACTGGCTGCGCACCACGACCGGTCGGCACGCTTTCGTTCGTTGGCCGACGGCCAATAGGTGAGCCGTACCAGCGGCTCTCGTGGAAGTCAACGCCGCCCGTTTTATCGACCGTGTACCCTCTACGAGATGGATTCGAAAATCCGCTTGTTCGACGCAGACGCGCGAAACGGATCTTTGTGATCGGCCACATTCTGACGTCGTGGCCAACGACTACTGGCGCCAAGGGCCTTTTACCGGTCGAAAAATTTCTTTCAAGTAGATCTGTCTTATCTTGATTTCTCGATATCTATGTCATGCATCTGCATCTTTAAAACCGCATTGCAATTCGCATTGCGCAATTCGACAAACGTCAGGGGAATCCTCTGGATTTTTAACGCTACGAGCAGGTGTAAAAACACCTCCTTTTCTTTGGATACGTTGTACCGGAAATGGAGGGATAATGTGATAGATGTTTCGTAGGGTTACTTGTAGATGGAGGAATGATACGATTTCTGTATTCTGATTGGCTTTTCGATAACGATGTTGTCTCATCTATTAGGTAGAGGGGTATCGATGTAAATCGAGAATAACCTCGTTGATGTTTGTTATAATTTGTGTTTTAATGTTTGTTTATGGTAATGTATATATCCATATCTGTCAAATAATAGGATTATCTTTTAATATTAAAAAAAAAAAATTCCTCATTTCACATCTATTCAGACACGGTGCATATTGGAGTAAAACTATATTTTCCTAAAAACATGGCACGCAACGTTCACACACGAACTGTTTTAAAACTTTCGTTGCTATTGCGAATATGGCATTTAAAACAACACTCTATAAATAAACAACTTTGTTGTTAAACTATATTTATGAATAATCAACGAAACGCAAATGTGTTTATACTTTACTATATCAGATTCTAACCCTTTTTGCACAATTAAATGAGATAATACTAAATTTAGCATAGCAAGTAATTTTACATTTCGATGAAAATAACCATTTTTTAATCCCTTCGGAAATCGCATAATTGTCGGATTTAATTTCACCTTTATCATTTATGCCAATAATCTATAAATGACTTCCGTTTTTTACAGGGCAAAGTAGAATACTTCGTGAAATGGAAAGGATGGAGCAAGAAGTAAGTGAAAGATAAAGCTGATAAAGTCATTAAAAGGTTCGTTAAAACATAAAGATTGAGAACATAATTTTTGCTCCTTGTAGATACAACACGTGGGAACCGGAAGAGAACATTTTAGACGTCAGGTTAATCGAATTATACGAAGAAAGTCAAAAAGGTGGGGATGTAACTACAAGAAGACCTAGGCGGAGGGATACCAGATACAATGTAAATAAGTCGTTCAATTTCAAATTTGAATGTTCACGTTCAAATTCACAAATCAAAATTCAAAATCCAAAATTCAAATTTAAATTTCAAAATTCAAGTTCCAATTTTATTATTGGAGTTAAAAAAGATTCTCTAATGAAAATGAGAATCACAAATGTCCCAAAGAATTAAACAACTGCCCGAATATCAGGAACAGGTTTTAGCCAACTTAGTCGTTGAGGAAGAACCCGGTGGAGATGAAAGGGTCGGAGAAGATAGTCAGGACGAGTCGACTACCGGTAGCACATCAGCTCCCCGCTTGAATCCCGTTGCACCTGACGAAGACACGCTTCCGAGTTCTCTCGACGGGCATGAATCGCCCACAGTCCCGGAATTGTCGGCATCCGCGTTCAGTGTTGATTCAGACAGTTCGAACAGCAGTGTAGACAGTCCTCTGTTACCGAGGAGAGAACCAACGGGTACGAAAAGGAAGGCTGAGGTTCTCAGCAAGGAATCGGGGAAGATCGGTGTTACCATAACCACCAGCAGTCCTAGCAGTGGTAGCGGAAGTCCTCCTCCGAACAAAATACCTCGGCTGTTGCCTTTGAAAAGTAATCCAACGTCTCCCTCTTACCACGTGAGTATCTATTCATTTTGAACTCTTTTAATCCCAGGAACTGATTTGGACCGATTCGATTCATTTGCGAAGAATCTTTGGATTTCTCTTTCGATCCTATTGTGTTATTCTATAGCTTGTTAGCTGTAGAAAATTTCATCTAAACATCTCAAAAAATGTGGCGGCTAAAAGCTGTATATACTCTTGTTAAGGTTTAGCAGAAAAAGGAATTTGAATAGTAAAGATATTGCGCATATTTTTCAGAGTCACAAGATTAACGGTAGGAGGCCGTCATCGTCGAGCGTGAAGTCGACACCAGAGGAACCGCTGCCGGCTGTGCCGACAACACCGGCCCCAGCGGTGCAAGAGAAAAAGCGTGCAGAAGCCGACGTGCCTCACGGTCCTCCACCCTCGCTGCCGCGTGCACCACCAGCACCTCTCTCCCCCCAGATAGACACACCTCTGGAACAGCCTACCAAAAAGAGGCACTTGTCCGAGCAAAAACAAGAGAAGTCGAACGGAGCTGTGACGGTAGACGCGAACGGTCACAAGTCACCCAGTCCTACAGACTCTTACACGAATAACAACAGGTTACCACCCGTTGTAAATGGACATCATAGTCATAACAATAATAATAATACTAATAATAACAACAACAACAACAACCATACCAATAACAATAACACCAGCAGCAGCAACAACAACAATAATAACAACAACAACAATAATAACAACAACGTGCCGAGTGTGAAACAAACAGAAATAACGAAGACAGATATGTATGTCCCTCTCTCGAGCCCTGGTACGGAATACTGGCATGCGAGGAATCCAGTCGCCGATCAGGTGTTCATTACTGACGTGACGGTGAATCTAAAGACCGTTACCATCAGGGAGTGCAAGACTGAAAAAGGATTCTTCCGGGAGAGGGATCCGAAGAGCGATATCTATTAACGATCTTCGTATAGGGACGCTTTACTGTGAATTTATAATTGCCGAACCACGCTTGTAAATATAAATTATTTTCACACGTTTAGGAGTGTTAAAGTCGAGGATGATGACTATATATAGATATATACATATACATATATATGTATGTATGTATGTATGTATGTATGTATGTATATGTATGTATTGACGGTGTCGAGTTATATATATATGTGTATATATATATTGAAACTTTTTCTAATGAAACAAAACGAACTCTTTTTTTTTTTTTGGTGATTACGAATGGGATCGAAGTAACGTGTTGTAATTTCGTGAAAATTCGTTAAATCGCATATTTTCCGGTACGTTGTAAATTCTGAACGAAGTTCCAAGAACTTCTAAAAGAAAGGAGAAACGTAAACCTGAAATGCAATGTATTCGTCAAGATACGGTATTCTGTGGATTTCATTGGAAACGAAAGGAAAAATCGAATGGTCAGTTCCAGTGCGTCGAACGGAAAAAAAATATTGTGTAAATCAGCGGTAAAGAGAGATAGTGAGACTATTGTCGTGCGATAACTTCAAGAAAACGGTACGTCATGGGTCGCTGTCACGTCGTAATATACACTTGTACATTTAAAAAACGCTTGATAGACCTTAACTCTCTGTACTAAAGCAGAAGAAGAAAAAAACAAGTACGCAAAGATGCAAGAAAGATCTGAAAGAAACGTTTTAGAGGATATAAAATACATTTTCTCAATTGATTGCATTTCCGCTTCTATTAGAATTCTGCAAGAAATAAAAAAAAATGGGAAACCGTGTAAATTAGTTAATTTCGAGTTTTACTATGATAAAATAGTACAGATCTGGAAAGAAATATTTTTCTAATTCGTTTTTAGAATAATCGAAGCAGCTTCGTAGAAGCGATTTAAGAAAATATGAAAAAAAAAAGATTTTCGAGTATAGAAACGAGGAAAAAAAAACTAATATTATCTTGACGACGTATTTCTCAGCATTATGATATTATATTGTATTTACCGATAAATATTACTCTCTTTTTTTTTTCCTCTTTTTCTTAGCGAGTAAATACCGTGTCACAAAAGGAAAAAAAAACAGAGCCGTATCATTCGTTCGTAGATTTTAGATTCGTTTAGAGACACAAACGCATTATTGATTTTTTCAGGTTGTTAATAGCATCACATACACACACACACATACACTCACTCAATCATACACATACATTTCAATGCACAGTTACAAACGAGAAGAAAAAAGGGAAGAAAAACAATGTACGTTATCAACGGCATTAGGATACGCGAAGATTTTGTAATTTGTATAGCGTGTTCTATCGGTTGTCAGTGTTTTGATTACGAATCGATTTCATGTTGTTTAAACGTGTTAGCTGTTGCATTTTTTTTATACGGTCGAATGTGTTTTCTTTTTTCTTTTTTTTTTTTTTCTTTTCATTCGAATTTAAGGACTGACTGCGCGCCTCACGCGTTATTACGCGCGCGACATTCAATTCCAACGATATATAACATATATATATCGAGAAATATTTATGCATATCCCCGGGAGAGCGCCATTTTATTTTCTAAGATAGGTTGTCTGAGTGTATTCACCAAATAGAGATGTTCCTACCTCGAAGACGGTCATCTTGAACAGAGAATCTGAGTACAACAACCAAATTCTAACGATCTTTAATCGAAACGTCGCTAAACTTCTTTGAATGTGTGGTTTAATCTTTTTTTTTTTTTTTTTTTCCTCTCGACAACTTCCGCCGCACCGTACAGTTTTGGCGCGCGTGTGCCCCAGTTTCAGAACCAGTAAATCCGTGATATAGTTAAATAATCGTATAAGCGTAAAACTTAAAAGGAAGAAACACATATACGTTGCTTATTTATTGTAACTAATATAAAAGAAAGAAAAGTTTTTAGGTTTTTACATTCTTAGTATAGTATTATTAGACTGTGTACGCAAATGCGTCCCGTTTGCGAAAAGTGTGACTTTTCTTCTCTGTCGTACATTGTAAAGAAAAAAAAAAAAAACGAATTAAGAATGCTTTATCGTTTGCGTTTTTAAAGTAAGTCGAGACACTTGAGACGAATGATTGAATATTACCGCTTAATATATATTTTTTCTTCTTCTAATAGACTGTGTACGATCGATTTCCAAGAGAAAAGCAGACCTATAGCGATTTATCTTTTTGTGAAACCAAAATGGGGCTATTTGTGTACAATTAGGTCGCGTGAATCTTTGCAACATACGTTGCGAGGGATTTAAATACACGTTTATTAAATTGTTGTGTAATGTAAAACAACACACTCTGTATATTGTGAGGAAACGAATGAGAGAGAGAGAGAGAGAGAGAAATTAATTCTGTAAAAATTGTAAATAGTCGGACACTTACAACTCTATGATAATGAGGCGCGAGAGAAAGGGTGTAAGAACGAATGAGCGAGAATGCGGCGTAGCTTTAGACCTTTCAGTTATCGTAACTGTAAATAGAAAACGGAAGCAAAAACCCCTTTAAGTTGTAAATGTAAAATCGCAAAACTGCAGGTCTAGAGGAGATCCTTTTTAGCTTTAGAGACTTTGAGATAGACTGTGCGCGTACCTTCGACATTGTTTCTGTACTTATAGAAATATTCAGACTCTACTTATAACGATAAAGGAAAAAAACACACGGAGAGAGAACAAAAAAAAAAAAAATGAAAGATAACCCAGCGATTACGCAGGCATATACGATATGTGAACCCCGGTAGTACCAAATTCAAACGGTAATTTTAGTTCTGTCTGGTACAGATTCCTTATATTTCAATAAAATCTTTATTTGAATTTTTGTTCGCGTGCAGTACTTGTTTTCCATCCACTCAAAGCCGAACACAGACATATATGCGCTTTATTTATTACCGCAGCCTCGAAGCCTGACCTCTTTTTCTTTTTTTCTAAGTTTTCCATTTATATTACTATCCAAATGTGTAAATTTAAGGGAGAATAAAGCAACAGTTACTCGAAGAAGTTTCTTCAAACGGAGTATGTTACACGGATGCTAATGTGTTCAGTTTCTTACCACTTTTTT